CGCTCCTGCCTGGCCCCGCGCGTAGCGGTCGGGGCCGTGGGGCTGCCGGGCGCGGCCTCCGCTCGTCCACTCGGCACTGCGTCTGCCCCCGCCCGCCGCGAAACCTAGTCTCAGCCGCCAGCCATCTCCCTGACTTCAAATAAAAAACAAATTTGGGAAAGTTTCTCCTTCACGCTGCACGGTCTTTTCCATTTGGGGGTGAAAATTTTCACTGAAAATAAAAAGGAAAACTCAGCAACGTTAGAACCCTTGTAGGCACGCCACCCTAACAAAAACGTGCAAAGTCGGTTTCTAAACAAAGAAGAACGAAAAGAAGCTGCGGTCTTACCACGTGCGCCAGCCCGCTCCGCCTGCGCTCCCGCCGACCCCGCGGCCCCCGCGCTGACCACAGGCAAGGCGACGCCTCGGAGGGCAGTCCGACTCGCATCTCCAGCCCTGAGTCCGAAAGAAAGAGGGAAAAGCGGGATTATGCAAATGTGGGTCGCTGCGGTCGGGCTCGGGTTACGGTCCCGCCGCCCCCTGAGGTGAGGCACCCACCGGCTGCGAACGCGAGCGCCGGTACTGCTCGCGCTTCGCTCCTCTTCTCGCACGTGGGCGGGCAGGCGGGCGGGCGGACGGACGGGTTGCCGGGGCCGCCCTACACAGAGTCTGCTGCCAGCCCGGCTGGCGGCCGCCGCTCGCCGCCCGGAGGGGGAGCTCCTGGGCGCCTGGGCTAGAAGGGCTGGGAGGGTAAGACGAGGCCAGGGGAGGCCAGGGCAAGGGGGAACTGCAGGGTGTGCGGCTGCCACCGTTCCCGAAGGAGGAGGTCGAGTGGTGGGCCGATGGGGGAGGAAGGTACACGGAGAAGGGGCAGGCTTACCCGGCCCGTCTCGAAAGCAAGTTAGAGTAAATGGAGGTGACTGACCTTCAGGAATTTTTCGGAGCTTTCCAACGACTCACACCTCTCCTAAGAACTGCGCCGCGTCAAGCCCGCGGTGTGCCAGGGGATGGGGTTGGGACAGGGGCAACTGGCAGCTGCTGGAGGCAGTGGGACTCCCCGGACGGTGCCTGGGGCCAACCCTGGGAGGCCTTACCTGAACCTCCGCTGGAAACGGGTCAGTAGATAACTTTCTGTAACCTTTTTTTTTTTTTTTTAAAGAGTGCCTCTTGAAGTTAAAAAAAAAAAAAAAACCCATTACCGTCAAGTAGATTCCAACTCGTAGTGACCCTATAGGACAGAGTAGAACTACCCCATAGGATTTCCAAGGCTCTAAATCTTTGCAGGAGACTGCCACATCTTTCAACGGCGCGGAGCTGGTGAGTTCGACCTTTCCTTTCGGTTAGCAGCCGAGCGCTTTAACCACTGCGTTACCAGGGTTCCTTTCTCTTTAAGCACCAACCCTCAAACATGGGAAGCACAGATACGATACGGAACAAAGTCTAGGCACTCATGTCAAGCTGACCATCCTGTGAACAGGAAACAAGTTCAGAAAGCTAGTGACTTGCCTCAAGTCACGCAGCTGGCAAGCGGTGGTGTCCAAACTTGCAATGGGATCTTCCTACTCCAAGTACAGTGCTGTGGTGGCTACATCAAGCGCTCCAGAAAACCCAGTTCTAGAAATCGAACAGCTCTTTGAGGATTGGGAGTCTGGCTCCGCCCTCTAGGGAAGAAATAGATCACCTTTGCCAATTTCATCTACTTTAACTTTTGCGAGGCAAGGAAAGCTTAGGTCAGGACTTCCCAAGGCAGGGGAGGAGAGGAGGGGCTCTCCTGGACACCCTACTCCCCAGTGTGAAGGGACCGTTTGAGTTCTTGGGCTCTAATGCATAGAGTCACCTTGTCACAAAGCCAGCATACTAACAGGAGCTGTGAGAAGGTAAGCCATTCCCCCACACTATCCTGGAGGGAAGAATGGGGAAGAGAAAAAAGAGGTAGGGACAATTAAAAACTCCCAAAGTGTTTATAGAGTAAGATGCAGTGCTGGGGAGAGGAGGAAGGAGAGAATGGAGAAGGTGACCGTGAATACAAGGCTGTACTGTGATCCCTGCCTTGAAGGCACTTGAATCTGTTTTGATCAAGGATGCAACAAATAAATGCCTTTCTTTAAAGCGGAGTTACCAGAATGTCCAAGTAAATGAGACACTCCAAGATTGTATCGGGGTAATTAAAAGAGTAGCAAATGGATACCAGATTCCATTTTTGTCACACTGACTCCCAGAAAGTAAGATAGGAAGACACAGAAGAGCCCTTTGGTTGGCTTGCTCTGGGTAGGGGATGGTGGGGTGAGAAGGGGAGGCAGCCTGGTGGAGGGGGGAGGGTCCTAGCTGGGCCTCAGAGTCATCTCTCTGAGTAATTTTCAGCTATTTTTTCCAGGCTTGCAGTTCTAAGTCACAATGTGGTGACGTGGTCACAACCAGCCGTGAAGCATGTCACAAATAATTTGTTAACATTTATGTTTTGATTTAAAAACCATTGTATCATTATAGAGTCCTCCTATTATAATGCCATTTTCCCTCACTTCCATTCTAATACTGTTACTGGAATGGAAGACAAAGGAGTGGTGGAATTGCCTGCAACTCTGGGTGCATGCAGGGTATAGGTTCCAAACACAAATGGCACAGGGCATGTGCATCCCAGTGAAAATTAGGCCAATTACCAATTCTGCCATCCAGCCAAGCTTTTCTTAAAAGTGCCCTTGTGTCCTGAGAAAAGCAATAAATCGTTACCTACATTCAGCATCTCACTATTAATCCAGTAATCCCAGTGGTGTCAAACCAAACCCAGGTTATGCCAATCAAAGTTAGTGTGAAGCCTCAGAAAAACATTGCTTTGCACAAGTCCAGTGTGCAGCTGAGGGGATGTATTACTGTTTCATTGGCACTGGGCAGGAGGAGATAAGACCCTTAGCAGGTTATTTTGTAGAAGCAGCAGCACTGACCCAAGCAGAAGGTGCTCAAGGTCCCTTTATAGTAAACTCTTTG